CAAACTCTTCAGTCGGCTTTCATCAAGCATGGGAAGCATTTCAACAAATGTCACTCGGTGGATTCCTTCAAGCTTAGGAAGCTGCCAAACTCGTTTGTCACCGACACACTGGTGCCAGATAAGTATTCTATCCCTTTACTCTTTTATCTGTAGAACTAACATTTTTCTGCAGGTATCGGCGTATGCAGAGTGATTTAGGATCGCCAAACGTCTTAAATCATTCTCCGTCCCTATCGACTACTTTGACTATCGTTTTCAAAACTAATGTTTCTACAAACTCAGTCAAAGTGGGGGCTTCTGTAGACACCTAAAAATGTCTCCCCAAAACCAAACCCGATGATAAATAACCTTTCACCGCCACTGTTGCTCGGGTTTAGTATTTAATCCCGAGAGTGCGTAAAAAAATCGTATTTTATTAAATTCATATTTTTGAAAGGTCCATGGATTAGTCTTGATGTTTGGTAAAAGCACAGTTTTTATTTTAGCCCAAGCTTGTTAATTAATTTTAAGCCCAAACCTTTTTATTTTATTATTTTATTATTTTCTTATTTTAGCCCGAATAATAAAAGTCATAAAAAAGCCCGAAATTATCAATCGGCACTTAAAAAGCCGAAAGAAATTAGGGTTAAAAATGAATTTAGACGAAAAAATGGACTGGAGCTGACCGTGTCACAGTACAGCCTGACCGTGTCACGGTTCAGCTTGACCGTGTCACGGGAAACCTTCCCGTCTGACGGTGGGACTTCCCGTGTCACGGGAGGTCTGCCGTGACACGGGACGTTCCGTGTCCTTTCCGCGTAAACCCTTAACGCGTTTTTCATTCCGTTTTCAGAAAATTTCCCGCGTCACTCCAAAACTGACCGTGTCACGGGAAAGTGTACCGTCTGACGGTACAGTCTGACCGTGTCAGGTACAGTCTGACCGTGTCACGGTATATTTGTTTAGGGTTTTTATCATTTTAGGGTTCCGTGTGCTCCCTCAGCACATTTCCCTATAAATACCCCCTCATTTCTGATGTACAGGGCAACTAGAATTTTATTATTCATATTTTCTCTCTTCTATGCTCTCAACCTAAACACTAGCCTACCCTTTTCGCTTCAAAATTCCTTCTTCAAGCACTCAAAGGAGTCCATATTTTACTCGAGGTTCCGTCCTTAAGCCAAGGCGTGAAAGGTAGAATCGTTTGAGGGTTTGTCCCCAAAATCAACTTTAGTTTTATTTAATTTAATTTAATTATTGTTTTATTATTTCCTTGAAGTTACTAACTCGTTTATTATTTTGTAGTTGCAAGCAAACAGATTCAAAAAAAGGATCATGCTCTTTTTATTATTTTTCTAACGATTCTTATGTTGTTGGAATTATGATTAAATTGGTTTTTATATTAATGTTGATTCTATTATTGTTATTATTGATCACAATATTGCATGTTTAAAGGGAATATGTGATTGAAAATCACGACTAATAAGATAATTTGGACAACCGGTTTAGGTTCCCTTTTAATCTTATTGTTAATTCAAGTGATCACCATATTTTAGAATTATGTGTGCATTAATCTTAAACCAATTTAGTTAAATAATAGTTTGGAGCGAATTGAATTATTGTTTGTATGCCTTTGATATCACAGGAATGCTTTTCACTATAAGAATCGAGTAGAGGCCAATACGGGCGAATGTGACTCCATGACTCACTTCGTACCATCATTCCCGATCCTCCTTTCGTGGTTCCGAACCATATGGAGTTAGTAATCTCATGGATTATGAATGGGGTGTAACCTTCACGGGTCAATCGTTGTTGCCTATCGTTGTCCCTTATCGTGGTTGCCTTTTTATGATCCGTAAACGGTTTACAAGTTCCTAAAAAACTTGTTGGCGGCTCCCTACTTTACGTGTCCCTAATCGTAATGTCAATTCCCACTTCCTATGAGTGCCAAGCATATTCACAACATGCTTTAACGTAGGCGCACTTCGAACGACGCCTACAACGGCCCATTGTGAAAGATATTCCATTTCGACCAGTAAATGACAAGCTTTGCTATACACCAACCGATTAGGAGTTGTGCCTAACGGATTTTTGTAAGCCGTTCGCATTGCCCACAATGTATCATCCAACTTCAATGACCAATCTTTTCGGGACTTGTTGACAACCTTTTCAAGGATTCTTTTGATTTGTCGATTAGATACCTCAACTTGGCCGCTCGTTTGAGGATGATAGGCCAAGCCAACCTTGTGAGTAACTCCATGTTTCTTAAGAAGAGCCTTAAAAGTTCATTGATGGAAATGAGAACCACCATCACTAATAACAACTCTTGGGACTCCGAAACGCGAAAATATGATCTTCTTGAATAACTTCATAACGACCTTTGAGTCATTAGTTGGTGACGCGATAGCTTCAACCCACTTAGTGACATAGTCGACGGCAACCAAAATGTACCGATTCCCGCAAGAAGAGGGAAAAGGTCCCATAAAATCAATGCTCCATACATCAAAAGGCTCGACCTCAAGAATCCCATTTTGCGGCATCTCTTGCCTCTTTGATATATTCCCTGTTCTTTGGCACTCATCACATGCATTGCAAAAGGCACGAGCATCCTTAAATAATGAGGGCCAATAGAAGCCACATTGAAGCACTCGGTAGGCAGTTGCAGTAGAACCAAGATGTCCGCTAGAAGGTAGATTATGACAATGATGAAGGACACCATGAGTATCCCAATCTGCTACACATCTCCGAAACATTCCATCAGCACACTTGCGATACAAATGAGGGTCATCCCAAAAGTAACGCTTAGCGTCATGGTAGAACTTCTTGCGTTGTTGGTAAGTCAAATCCGGAGGATATGAACCACCTACACAAAAATTAGCATAGTCAGCATACCATGGGGATACAGAAGAAACAGAGAATAAATGATCATCAGGAAAAGAGTCATTTATAGGGCTATTCGAAGTAGACTGAAATCTCAATCGAGAGAGATGGTCTGCAACAACGTTCTCTGCGCCCTTTTTATCTCGAATCTCTAGATCAAACTCTTGTTAGAGAAAAATCCATCGAATGAGCCTTGGTTTAGCCTCTTTCTTTGCTAGGAGATACTTCAGAGCGGCGTGGTCAGTATGGACAATCACTTTCGAACCAATGACGTAAGTTCAAAACTTGTCAAGAGCATACACAATAGCTAGGAGTTCTTTCTCAGTTGTGGCATAATTCATCTGAGCCTCATCCAAGGTTCTGCTAGCATAGTAGATGGCGTGCAAAACCTTATTCTTTCATTGCCCAAGCACGGCTCCCACAACATAGTCACTCGCATCACACATGATCTCGAATGGTAAATCCCAATCCGGAGGTTGTATGATTGGAGTAGTTATTAATGCCTCCTTGATCCTGTTGAAAGACTCCATACAAGCATCAGTAAACTCAAATGTGGCATCCTTAAGCAACAATTGAGTGAGGGGTTTCGCTATTTTTGAAAAATCTTTTATAAATCGGCGATAAAACCCCGCATGACCAAGAAAACTTCTCACTCCCTTGACATTCACAGGAGGAGGAAGTTTCTCAATCACCTCAATTTTTGCTTTGTCAACTTGGATGCCACGATCAGAAATAAGATGACCAAGTACCACTCCTTCATTGACCATGAAGTGGCACTTTTCCCAATTCAAGACCAAATATACATCAGTACAACGTTTAAGCACCTTAGAAAGATTATTCAAGCACATATCAAAGTCAGAACCATAAACACTGAAATCATCCATAAATACCTCCATGATGTTCTCAATGAAATTAGAAAAAATGGCCATCATACACCTTTGAAACGTCGCAGGGGCGTTACACAACCCAAATGGCATTCTGCGATAAGCAAATGTACCATAAGGGCATGTAAACGTTGTCTTCTCTTGATCTTCCAGATGAATGGGTATCTGAAAGAAACCTGAATATCCATCCAAATAACAGAAAAAACTATGTTTTGCTAATCTTTCAAGCATTTGATCTATAAAGGGTAAGGGGAAGTGATCTTTCAAGGTGGTCGTATTTAACCTGTGATAATCGATACACATACGCCAACCTGTGACAACACGAGTAGGAATTAGTTCATTCTTATCATTTTTAACAACTGTTGTCCCCCCTTTCTTAGGAACGACTTGTACCAAGCTTACCCACGTAGAATCTGAGATGGGGTAGATGATGCCCGCGTCAAGAAGTTTCATTACCTCTTTCTTCACCACCTCTTGCATATTAGGATTCAATCGACGTTGTGGTTGAATGCAAGGGCGATGATTCTCTTCCAAATTAATTCTATGCATACAAAAATTAGGACTTATCCCTGTAAGATCATCAATGCTATACCCGATTGCCTTTTTATGCATGCGAAGCACAGTCAAAAGCTTAGAAAGTTGGCTATCATCGAGTTTAGCACTAACAATTACAGGGCATTCCACATTATCGTCAAGAAATGAATATTTAAGATGAGAAGGCAAAGGTTTTAACTCTACCTTTTTTACCTGTGACTCAGAAGTAGAACAAATAGTTTCCATTACCTCAAACCCCTTAGTGTTAGGGGCATCCAAGTCACGAATCAAAGAGTCAATCTTTGTATCTCCTTATCCTTGAGAAACCTCCAAGGTGAGGACAGCTTCTAATGGATCGTTAGCTAACTCACGAGGCGTATCATATCTCACAATCTCATCAAGCACATCAATCCTGCAACAAGTATTCTCAAGCATAGGCGACTTCATCGCATTGGTTAGATTAAAAGTCATTGTATCATCACCAACAGACAAAGTAAGGGACCCAGACTTGACATCAATAACAGCACCTGCAGTACACAAGAAAGGTCTACCTAAAATAATCTGGATATTACTATCCTCCTCCATATCTAAAACTACAAAGTCAACAGGAATGAAAAATTTCCTAACCCGAATGGGGACATCCTTCAAAATACCTAATGGGTATTTTATTGAACGATCCGCCATTTGCAAGGTGATTTGTGTGCATTTTAAAGCTCCCATATTCTACCTGTTACAAACAAAAAGAGGCATAACAGACACACTAGCACCTAAGTCACATAAAGCTTTATCGATGAATAATGCACCTACATGACATGGGATGGAAAAACTACCAGGGTCCTTAAGCTTAGGTGGGGATTTATTTTGCAATATAGCACTACACTCTGCAGTTAGAGCGACTGTTTCTACACCACCAAAGTCTTTCTTCTTAGTAATCATTTCCTTTAAAAACTTTGCATACATTGGAACTTGAGAGACCAAATCAGTAAAAGGAACAGTTACCTCAAGGTTCTTGACCATAGTCAAGAACTTACCAAATTGTTGATCTACCTTGGTCTTTTGCATTCGATGTGGGAATGGTAGATTTGGCTCGACGGATGGAGGCTCAGAACCTTTCTTTTTCTCTTTCTCAGCATCACTTGCTTTAGCTTTCCCATCTTTTGAGGTGGGAACATCATCTAAGGCCTTCTCTGCAACCTCACTATTCTCCTTCTCAAGATTTGCATCATCAGTAGGCATTTGTGGCCCTTCATAACTGACACCACTACGAGTAGTGATAGCATTGCCGGTCTCCTTGGGGACCGGTTGTCCCGGTAAGTGGCCAGGTTGCCTTTGGATATTGGTACCTGCGACTTGTGCAATTTGATTCTCCAAATGCTTTGTTGTGTTTTTCAACTCCTTGATGCTATCTTCAGTATTTTGCTTCATGGTTGTCATCATTCTCATAAGGTCAGACATAGTAGGCTCTTGAGTGCCATGATAAGGTTGTTGTTGAGGTGGCCTATTGAAACCCGGAGGAGGAGGATGAGAGGCCCCTTGTTGATGTAGTGGAGGCCTTGGAACATATTGCTGAGGTTGACGGTTGTGAGGCTGTGACCACTGTTGCTGAGGTTGTGCCCATTGTTGCTGAGGTTGAGGATTTTGAACATTATTGCTTTTGTATGAAAGGTAGGGATGATTCCTCCAACCTGGATTGAATGTGTTAGAATATGGATCATTTGGTTGCCTTTGCTGAAAGGCATTCACCTGCTCCATCTGATTGGTCTCTTGAGAATTCAGAGCACATTGATATCCAAAGTGACCCTGTATACCACACAATTCACAAAAAAAATGAGTTTGCGAAGGTTGAGAAGACATAGCATTAACAGATAAAAGAGAAGATTCTTGAGTGGCCTACAATGCTTCAATCTTTGCAGTTAATTGAGCCATTTGAGATGTCATAAGTGAATAGGCTTCAACTTCCATCTTCCTTTTCTTTGGTCGCGTCCTTGGAGATGAGAAGTGGTTGGCTGCAAGATTTGCAAGAAAATCATACCCTTCCTCGATCGTCTTGTCAAGGAACACACCACCTGCAGCAGAGTCAACAATACATTTAGTCTCGGGTTCTAGTCCTTTATAGAAAATACGAACAAGATTCCACTTCTCAAAATTGTGATGCGGGCATGATCTTTGAAGATCTAGGAATCTATCCCATGCTTCCCTAAGAGATTCCCCCGAATCTTGAGAAAATGTTGAAATTTGGTGTCGAATCTTTTTAGTTTTTTCAGGGGGAAAATATTCTTTGAGGAATGCTTGAGAAATCTTGCTCCACTCCGTCTCTTTGACAGTGTTCAACCACTTCTGAGCTCTATCGCAAAGGGAAAATCCGAACAACATCACCTTCAATTGATCTTGAGTGACTCCTTTGTGATGAACAGTGGAACATAACTGTTGAAATCGCTGCAAGTGATTAATTGGCTCGTTAGTAGGATGGCCACTAAACTGATTTTGTTGAACCATACTGAGCAATGCGGGTTTGATTTCAAAGTTCTCTGCAGTGATTTCTGGCATTTTAAGACCCGTTGGAATACCATCTTGGGATGGTACCCCGAAAGAATTAAGAGACCTATTATCAGTCATCTCCTTTTGTATGTCAGGTTGTGTAGTAGAGCTCTTCTGTGATTGGGTCTTTTTCTGCTTTCCTTTCCCTTTCTTCTTGATTTGCCTAAGGGTCTTTTCCAAGTCCGGATCCGTAGGTATCACTTCACCTGTTCTTTTTTACCTGGGCATAAAACAAAAAGAAAAGAAAACAATGAGAATGCCCCGATTGGAACTGAAAGTTCCAATGGGACAATGGAAACAGTTCAAACAATCAAACTAAAACTAATAGAATCTAGTCGTCTCCCCGACAACGGCGCCAAAAACTTGATGAATAAAAAGTTATACCGCAAGTGCACGGTGTCTGTTGTTAGCAGAGATTTAGCAAATACGGGTCGAATCCCACAGGAGACAGGTTCTATTAGTTTTTGCCCAATTATATGAACTATTTCTATAAACGAATAATGATTTGATGAGTAATTAACTAAAGAATGACAATAATGAAAGTAAGGTTGTTCTCAGAAAAATTAAAGTCTAGGGCACACGTTCGGTCCACCATGCTTATACCAATCCAAGAAATGCAAACAATCCATTAATAAACAAACTAGGTCGAATAATTAAAGCACTTGTTAATCCTACGGTCGGGAATTAACACTTACGAATTAACATATGTAGTTCGGCCGCTAACATAATCAAATTCGCCAATTGTAGTTAAGCCTCTAAAAATATGATTTTCAATTCTAATTTTTATTAGCTAAATAATCAAATCATGATATTGGCCAATTACATGAATCAAACAATAAAGCACAAATCAATTGGAATTATTCAACCCTAATTCATAAATTTATAAATAATCAAGAATAATTAATCAAGGTATAAACATGGCTTCCCCCACTTAACCATAGAAAACGACTACTCGCTCATAATTGAAATAAACAAAACCAAAGAGATGAATAAACTAGAATTCATAATTAATAAAATAAAGAACGAAAGATTGAATGAAATACCTCAATGATTGAATTAATGGAGAATAAAAAACTAAAGCTCAACAATGGAGAGAAAAACTAAGAAACATTTAATCTGGAAAAATTAAGCATGAAGAGGCAAAATAAAATCTTCTAAGTATTTATATTTTTGCCTCATCCTAAATAAATACATAAGTATAATGCTATTGGATGACAATTGATGACGTGGCACGAGGGAGGCAAGGATGCGAGTAACTCATCATCACCACCCGACCAGACCCGCGGCCGCAGGTGGTTCCCGCGCCCTGGCAGTGGCGGCAGCAGCCTCGAGGGGGCGCGGGACAGGGGCGCAGCCACCCCTGCAGTTGGCTGGTTGCAATGCTTAGATTCAAATGCTTATAACTTCTGTTCTAAGAATCTTCTCGGGGTATGTGACCTATCATTGGAAAGCTCTTCAAGTCTAGTTTCCAAATCAACTTGAGTCGCATCAATCCAATTTGTAGAACTCAAGATATGATCAAAAGAGTGAGTAAAGGTCATTTTTGATACCTTGCAAACCTTCGTTTTTTCCCCGTTTCTCACTCAAATTCACTTCCGTAAGGTCCATAGTGACTCTCGTGGATGCTATTTTCATTTTCCATGCATAAAATCCTTAGAGCCAACATCCACGAGCATATATCCCTCGATCAATGAACCCGATCCATCGATTTCCATTCAAATATCATCTGAATCATCTCTAAACACTTCGAAAGCTTCCAAATGACTATGAAATCACCTGAAACATTAAGAAAAACACAAACGGAGTGTAATAGAGCGACATATAATAACTTATGCAGACATGACTCTAAAAACAATTATGAAGACTATGAAAAAGCTCTAAAACTAGCAAAAACGTGCCTAAATAAAACTATATAAATATGATTTATCAACCATGTGGCTAGACTATGTGACTAGACTCGAACAAAGACTAAGTTAAGACTTCATGTATATGCATTAAACTGGACACGCTGTGGTATTTTAGTCATAACTTTTGATCTGTGACTCTGATTGGAATGAAACCAACGCCAAATTAAAGATAAAACCCGGGGCTACAGATCCATAGGTTCTAAGACTCGTAGTTCATCCTAGAACTCTGGCTATGACCAAAACAAGTTGACGGTTGTGAAGTATACGGGAATAAATATCCGGGTTGACTTAAAGGAACTATGACTCGATTTTAGGTATATTTTTTAGCTCAAATTAATTAATTAATTAATTAAGCAAAGTCTTTTAGTCATTAATTAGTTTATTAAGACTTAATTACAAGCACAAGTCAAACCAAACGGTTATCTTAGTCACATAATAAGTATGCACAAGTAGTCAAGTAGTCACAACATGATGCAATGAGTTTGCAACCAAACCATGAATCTAGTTCTCTAAAGTTCAGGATATGGGTTAGTCAAATAGAGTCCATGGTTAATTGTCCAGATGCACCGCGCGGAAGCCTAACCGTGAAGGGTTGGCGCAAGTGGATGGGACACCGCGAATTTAGAAAAACTCGCTTCCATGGTTTGGTGAATTCAACATTCTCGGATGTACGACCCTTTGTTGCACAGAGCGTTCAATTAGATAGATGGAGCATGAATTCCCAGAGGGTTATATCCATATGTAGAACACATATGGGTTTCAGAAAAGTGAGAAAAACTCAATCAGGAAGTAGGATCGAGCAAACAGTGCTAAAAACTGGTCGAAATTAGAACGCATATTTCTGGTTCGGTATTGGAAGAACTTTGCGCCAACAAACAGAGGCCGGCGCCAACAATTTGGCTTTGGCGCCTGGCGACAGAAGATGTCGCCTGGTGCTAGAGTCAAATCATAGGCGCTAGACTCTGTTTTCTGACGCTAGTTCCTACATGCCTCAACAGCTTTCAATGCTCGATAAAATTTTCTAGTTTCGCGCAGCATTATTTCGATTCTAGTTGTGAAAGATATTCCTCAAATTTTCTACATGTAAAAATCCTATGTTTTAACTCATTATGGATGGTCTTTCCAATGAGATCTTTTTTATGCATATGACAAAAATGTTAATCAAAATTACGCACATAAAATAAATAGAACTTTTCGAGTCTCATCCACTCATTCTAAATAATTGCCAAAATAAATTTTAGGAATTGAAATAGAAATCCTCCCCAGTTGAGTCGCTAAAAAGCTGTAGGGAATATTTCAAGCATTATCCCTAGCTTGAACCCCACTGTGATCATACACTAAAGTACGGTGGCGTCCAAAGGGAAGGAAGCTAGAGTTAAAGAGTCACCAACAAGTTTTAGGAACTTGTAAACCGTTCACGAGGTGAAGGTTACAACCCTTAACGATCCAGGAGATTGTCAACTCCAATAGGTCTGGAACCATGACTGGTAGCTCGGGGATGAAGGTACAAATCTAACCTAAAAGAGATTGAACCTGCCCTAATAATAGACCTCTACTTTATTCTGATCGTATTCATGTGCGCTTTCTGACTAACATGCAATAAATAGGATTAACCCTAAACCCGATTATCTATGTTGGTTGAATATTAATGCACAAATAAAACTATTATTGGCGATCACTTGAATTATAATCAAATTAACCCTAACAAGATTATTAATTCTCTTATTAAGCATGATTACAAGTACCAATTCCCTTTAAACATGCACAAAAGGTGTGATCAAGCAATAACAATAAATATCAAGCAACATAATATGAATCATAATAAAAATAATAATTATAATCTTCATCATAAAATAATCATGTTAAAGCATAATAAGAGCAAGATCATAGGCATGATACTAACAAGATTAATAACAAACCCTAGCATGTCACTAAGCAATAAAATCAAAGCTTAAACCCTAACATGATATTAACATGCATATTAGGAAAGAACATAGAAAGCATCGCAAGAATCATAATTGTCATATTTGATAATAGAAATTATAGTTATTACCCTAAACATGATACTAGGAAGATCAAAACACCCTAGACATGATTTTTAAATCATAATATCAATAAAATCAATTAAAGCACTTACTTGGATGCCTCGTATCTCTTTCTAATAACAAAATACACACGTTAGTAACTTCAAGGAAAATAATAAACAAAACAATTAAATTAAATAATTGAAAGAGAGATTTGGGACCAAACCCTCAGAAATTAAAACCTTTCACGTCTAAGGCGAAGGCAACTTCGAACTTGGCTAGGTATGTCTAGTGCTAATGTATGAGTAATTGTGTTTGTAAAAGGCTAGGCTTAGAAAAGAGGGAGAGAGAATCAAGAAATTCTTGATGAGAGTTGATAAGAAAG